GTTAGTAAGAAGTCCAATTTTATCCTGGTTTGATACTGAAAATGTTTCCCCTAGACTGGTACATCTCACTTGTACAATTTCACAATTTTTTTAGTGACATGGGAAGTATATCATGGTATAAATTATAAATAAGTCATTTTAAAGTGATTGAGTTATAAATTGAACAGAATAGTGTGACTATTTAAATGCAATTACTTTGATTTCTGTTTCTTTTCTTTTGTACGTTTAGTTTAATTGACAGATATAAATTGGATATATTTATAGAGGATAACAGGTCCACTCTTAAAGTAAACTCTAAGACTCAAGGCAAACTCTTAGCTGTGAATAAAAAAGACGTTATGTACTCCCAAAAGACAAGGACACAGAATTCACATTGCCATTTGCAAATGGTCCATGAAAAGAGAAAGAAGACTGGACAGGAGCAAGACCAAAACTTAGCAGAGTACACTAAATCTTGTAGCGGCATGTGTAGCATCCAGGGCTAATAATGGAATAATGCCGTGATCTCCAGCGGGCTGGGCATCTCCAACCCTTGGGCTTTGCTGGTCGCTGCCAGCACAGCTTTTCCCTTGAAATGGCTGTGCTCACTGCCTCCAGCCTTCTCTGGCAGATGATCCACATCCTGGTATCTCTAGGATTCTAGGATCACTTAGGTTTCGCCCTCTCAGCTTCCAGCATCACCCTCTCTGGGGTTGCAACCCTGTCGCACCATTGTTTGGTCTTGTCTTTCCTGAGATAAGGAAGCTTCCAAGTCACTAGAGCTCTTGCATTCTGTAGGCCTGCAAAACCAGCATCAGGCAGATGATGCTGAAGTCTGCCAACTGCTGGACCAGGAGCTAGGTCCTCTTGGAACATGGCTGCCCAACCTCTGAGTGTCTGGGTGCCTGGATATGGGGAAAACACTTTTCCTGGCAAGAATCTCTGTACATAAAACACATCCTGGAACTTTCTTCTCAAAGGCAAGCCTTTCAAAGTAGCTGAAACTTTTATAACCTTAATCTTGAGCTAAGTAAGGTCCGGCCCATTCCCCTGATGTCCTCAAAGAATCTTTGTTACTGTTTCAATACAAAGTATTTGATTGTTTTTATGGCTATTGCCATAAAACAACCATGCCCACCCTCTGCCCCGCTTTCTTGCAACTGTCTATGTGCTCCTTTGATGATCAAACTGTGCATAAAATCTTTCTGCTCTGATTTTTTCCCCTCCCAATTCTCTCTGTAAACCTGGCCAAAAACATCCATCATTATTCATGCCACAGCCCAAACTCTATGCTGCATTGAACTTCCCCTTCACCAAACTGGTGTACTACTTCCTTTTAAGTTTTTTTTTTTTGAAACTTGTTTCTAAGTAGTTGTACAAAAGGGTATCAATTCAGTATGTGAGCTTATGAGTCTAATGAGTGTTGCTTAGTGTCCCTAGCCCTTGATAACCCTCCCTCTCTCCCAAAGGACACCATCCCCTCAATTTACCTGTTCCATTCTCACACATGTACTTTGGATATTCTAACTGCATTCTCCCACCTTTGCTCTCTCCATTCACCCATCCCCGACTCCAAAAGTTTCAGTTTTCATTGTGTTAGACTATGTTAGTCATTCAAAGGAGTTACACCATTGGAATCCTCACCTGCCTATATTATAGTTAATATAATTGTGTGTAGACGTATATGACCCCTGTATATATACATGTGTGTGTGTTTATTTGTGATTTAGGTCTAACTTCCACCTATGAAAGAAACATGTATCCTTTGTCTTTCTGAGCCTGACTTATTTCACTTAACATGGTGGTATCCCAGGTCCATCCATTTCCCTGCAAATGACAATCAAGCTTCCCTCAAATCTCAGGAAATAGAAAAAAAAAAAAGGTCAAAATTTCCTTTGCCAGAATGTGATATGAACGGCCTGTCATTGAATTCCCAACAAAGCTCATGCTCTGTCTGAGCCGTGCCCCTTCCTGGCTGCACTCTAGTCTTCTGAGCTCCTACCACAACCTCCCACTAAGTTCTGCCTGCACCATTCTAGCTTGCCTCCACCCTGCTTCTCCATGCCTCCACATTTTCCCCATTAGCCACCATCACAACTTAAACCCATATGGTCAGGTTTAGTTGTAGCAATGGCCCTGCTTCTCCAGGAGCAAATTGGTCACTTCATCATTGTTGTGGCAAACATGCTTAACAAAAACAAGCTCAAAGAATAAAGATTATTTCTGGCTTACAGTTTCTGAGGGTTTGGACCGCAGTGGTTGGGTCCAGTGCTCTTGGGAAGAACCTTATGGAACTGAAGTGAGGAAGGGAAAAAAGCATACCCAGGGACCAACCACCCTGTCTGCCTGGACCTCACTGCTGAAAGCCTCCAAAACTTCCCCAAACAGTACCAGCAGCCGGGGATCAAGCATTGGACATGTGAGATGGCTGGGCATTTCATATTCAAACCATGTAAAAACAATACGTCCTGTGTGTGTGTGTGTGTGTGTGTGTGTGTGTGTGTGTGTGTGCGTGCATGCATGCATGGCAGTCCTAGGGATTGAACTCTGGCCTGGGTGCTGTTCCTTAGCATTTTCTGCTCAAGGCTGCCACTCTCTTACTTGAGCCACACCTCCACTTCTGGCTTTTTGGGTGGTTAATTGGAGATAAGAGTCTCACAGACTTTCCCAGCTTTGAACCTCAATCCTCAGATCTTAGTCTCCTGTGTAGCTCCGTAGCTCAGTAGCTCGTATTACAGGGGTGAGCCTCATGGTTCCATATAACCTGTCTTTTGTTTCCTCTTTGCTACAATCCTTAACCCTCGTTCTTACTCTTACTTTACAACTAATTTTTCCCTTCTGGGGATTGAGCCCAGAGTCTTATGTAAACTAGACAAAGGTACTAGCACTGAGCTATGTCTCCAAACCCCTAATACCCAATTTCAAAGTGGTAGACAGTGGAAATAATGACAAAACTATATGTAGATAAAATCCTTCGTGACACACTCATGCTCTGGCTGTGACTAATCAGGTTCCTATCTCTCACACTCAAAACAATCTTTCTTGTGACTGACTCTGGGTGTGCTGCAGAGTGTAAGGAGTTAACCTGTGTTTATCTGGTCAGGTGGCAGGACTCTCATGTTTAAGAACCGTGGCCTTGTTGGCAAAAGTCTAGAGAAGCCTGCAGTTGTTTGAGATTCGGGATAGGTAGGGTGCCAAGACCTTCCTGTTACAGATGAAGGGCACTTGTTAAGGAAAGATGAATGGAATAGTGAGAGAGGCCAGAAAACTCGCTAGGGTGGCGTAGGACAAACGCCAATGCAAATAAAATAGGAAACACTTGAAATCTCCCACTTGGTTGAAGGGTTTAGAAAAACGTATTATTTTTAATGTGCTTAGAAATAGAACAAAAATATGTGTAGTGTACGTGTAAAGAAAGTATTAATAAAACATTCCCACATGATCCTTTTTGCTATACATACCCTTTAGCTCAACTTGTAACCAGCATTTTCACTTAATAACATAAAACAACGCAGTGTCAGTCAAAGGCTTCCGCCAACTCTCCTTGTTTTCAGATTCAGGATCCTTTCCCACTCATTTCTTACAAACTGAGTTATACCTGCCTCAAATTCCTATATTGAAGTCCTTCCCTCCGGCTATGTGATTGTATTTACCAATGGCTGCTGCTGGAAGTCATTTTGCTCCATAAGATCTTGGGAATGGAGTCTTTCTGATTATTCGTGTCTTGATAGGAAGGGACACAGTGAGCCATGGCTGTACATGCCCACAAACTCTTCCACTGGGGATTGGCTGGACCTTCAATTATAGCAATCAACTGTGTCAGCCATGTGTCAGGATATCATGGACTCCTATTCTTAAAATGATGCTCAAGCCTTGACATTCACTACTACTTACAGCTAAGTCTGCCTTTTAGGTAGCTCAGAGAAATTTGATGATGGAAATTTGAAGAAAGAATGGTAAAGAAGACGGTGGTACTAGAGTTGAGTAAGATAGTTTTTACTTCAGGGAATTAACGACTTACATGAGCCCTGAGTATTCCAGAACACCTTTCTGCCCATCACTATTGCTTCATCTCATTGTTGGGGTCCCATTCTCCCTCATTATTCATATTTGTACCCTTAACTGAGAGGCAGCTATAGAAATTAATAAAGAGTAAGCTTTGACATCAGAGAGGAATGGAATTTCTAGAGGAGATAAGCTGCAAAGTTAGCTGCAGTGCTAACTTCCTTCCGCACCCCCCCGCCCCCACCACTTTCCAATCTTCCCCAACCCTAAAGCTTGCCTTGAGAAGCTAGCTTTTTCTCTTGATTATTTTCCCCAGAAGGGGAAAGGGAAGCCGTGTGTGTGTGTGTGTGTGTGTGTGTGTGTGTGTGAGATGATCCTGGGGTTTGAGCTCAGGGCCTGGGCACCTGAGCTTCTTTGCTCAAAGCTAGCAATCTACCACTTGAGCCAGAACTCCATCTCAGCTTTTGTGGTGGTCAATTGGAGATAAGAGTCTCAAGGACTTTTCCTGCCTGGGCTGGCTTCAAACTGTGATCCTCAGATCCCAGGCTCCTGAGTAGCTAGGATTGTAGGCACCAGGCCAAGCCTTTAAAAAAAATCAATCAGATAAAAATTTAATAGGAAGCATATTTTTTTTCTCCTTAATTGCAGATTTGGCAGGAGGCTGTTAAAGAAAAGCGTACCATAAAACTTAGGGATGGCTGTTGTTTGTGGATTGGATTTTCGAGGTCAGCTCATTCCCACAGTTAATTAAAAGTTAAATACACATATATCTAAAGAGTAGACAGAAGCTAACAATTTTCTTCATTCTTGAGAGACTCCCAAGTTTTGTCCTGTGCACCCACTCTAGACCCTCACTGGGTCTAGATTTTGTTCTCATTGTATCTAATCAGATGACAGCATATCTGTACCGTCTTTTGAGAACATGAGAAATAAAGCTTTTGTCATTTTCCCTCCTATTTCAGTTCTGGGAACCGCAATGAAAACTGTTCTGACTTTCTTTCTCTCGTTTACTTTAGCAGACCAGTGGCCAGAAGAGCTATGTGGAAAGCTCCCACCCGTGGAAGCAGGTGATAGAAAAATTAGCCTGATTATGGAGCTGTCAAGCCAACTCTCCCTTCAGACAGAGAAGATCAGTCACTTGGAAGAAGTACTGGAGGAAAAAGAAAAGAAGATTCAGGAACTAGAAGCCGAGCGGTGCTCCTACATGGCCCAAGAGACAACAGCCCCTACAGAATGTGTATAAAAATGCTCCTCCCTTTTCTTCAGCATGCACGTGGTCTCAGATAAGGACTCGTAAAAATTCCCAGTAAGAAAACAATAAAGTATATTACATTGCCATCATGGTAAAGTCCACGGCCTAAGCATTCTCTCAAGTTCAAGTTTCCTATAATTTCACATTCAGAAGCAAACACTATACACTTCCCCATTAGTCAGCAGCAGTCACATAGTTATACAGCTGCAGAATCCTAGGTTTTTAGACTTTCCTGGTTAGCAGTGAGAGAAGTCAGGAACCCCAAACTAGTCAGCTGGTAAGACAATGTAGCACTTGCCTCCTACGAGAAACATGTCACACAGCAATGGAGGAGGGGCACCAGTGGCTCTGCTATGTGGCTAGCTGCATGTCATGGAGGGCCAGCTTCCAACCAAGGAGCGTTAGAATACTGAAAAGGAGACTCTTGCCCACAGAGGAGCGAGCTCCGGAGCCCAACCTCTCCTGTCCTCTAGAGTTTCTTCATAGCTTACATCTTATTAACATTAGCAAAGGGAGAAACAAAACCAAAGCAACTTTGAGAAATTTCATATGAATGGATGAATCAGCGATGCGGTCCTTTGGGAAAAGTGTCCTGGGACATCTCCCTGGGAAAACACTGAACATTATTTTTTTTCTCCCTTAGGAGCAAGACTCCGATTAAAGCAAAATACACATACACTCTTCTATTCTGATTGTATCACATAACTGGGGACAGTACTAGCTTTTCACTAGATGGACAAAAGAAAAGCCTAGAAGAAAGCTCTTACTCCTCACTCACTCCCTTTTACTGGAGAGAAGTAGCTAGGTACTGTGAGGAAGACTTTGGTATTTAATTCTTATTGTTGATACAGTATTATTCTGGTCGATAATTCTAGTTCCCCTACAAGTGTGACTATATTGCTACTTTGGAATTTAATCCAGTAAGTTCTTTCTACAAATCTCATCAGAATTCTTCTATTTTCAAAGCACAGTAATAGACATCTGAATTCTAGCAAACATGAGAATCACAATTGTTTTAAATCCAGGAGTCCACAGATATGAGTCCCTGTTTCAGGCTGGTCATATAAAATGGGAAATGAAAGTGAGCATGAGCCAAACCTAAATCAGCACTGCCTTAACAAAGGTTCTCAAATTCACTGAGAGAGAATGATCAGTGACCATGCTCAGTCCATGCCAATGGATTAGGCTCAACATTATGCTTTTCTTTCTTCCTTCCTTCCTTTCTTTCCTTTTCTTTCATGTGCGTGTGTGCACACATATGTGCTCACACTTGCCAGTACTGAGGCTTGAACTCAGGAACCAGGCACTCTCCTTTTTCTGTTTGAGGTTGGTGCTTTACCACCTGAGTCACAGATCCACTTCTGGCTTTTTGGTGGCTAGAGATAAGAATCTCATAGACTTTCCAGCCCTGGTTGGTTTGAAGCTTAATCTTCAGATCTTAATGTCCTGAGCAGCTAGAATTACCATTAACACTCAGGCAGGACTGTAAATTTTAACAAAAATGTGGCATTCCAGGTGAATATATTTCAGAAACTACATTGTAAGACACATGGATTTAGGCCCAATTTCAAAGCTAGCTCTTATATTACACTTTCAGACTAAGGACTAAGTCCCTTCTCTTCTCTCATCTCCTTAAACCCCATTCATCTCCTTGGTACACCTTCGTGATCCTCTCTGCCCCAGAGGGATGTCCCCATTCCAGCCTTGGGGTTCTGTCCATTGCTCCTGACACAGCATGGTACGTCCTTACTCTGTAGTCATGGGAGAAAACTAACTCTTTTCCTTTTTGAAAGGGTGGACAATTGTCGAGTGCCAGTGGCTTTTGCATGTTATCCTAGCTATTCAGGAGATTGAGATCTGAAGATTAAGCTTCAAAGCCAACTCCAGCAGGAAAGCCCATGAGATTCTTAGCTCTAACCACCACAAAGCAGGAAGTGGATCTGTAGCTCAAGTGGCAGAATGCTAGAGTTGAGCAAAAAAGCTCAGGGACAGCACTCTGAGTTCAAGCCCCATGTGTATGCACACACACACACACACACACACACACACACACACACACACACACACACACGCATGCATGCAGAGTAGACAATTTCAAGATGAAACTATCATCTCTACAATTTGGTTTTTTTGGGGGTCCGGTCGTGGGGCCTGAACTCTGGGCCTGGGTGCTGTCCCTCAGCTCTTCAGCTCAAGGCCAGCGTTCTACCACTTGAGCCACAGCGCCACTTCTGGCTTTTTTCTTTTTGCTTATGTGGTGCTGAGGAATCAAACCCAGGGCCTCAAGCATGCAAGGCAAGCGCTCTACCACTGAGCCACCTTCCCAGCCCATCATCTCTACAATTTTGATTTCTGTTATGCTAAGAAAGTTCCTATCTCATTAGTATCTTAATACTGAGAAGCCGTATTGGGATAACAAAGTAAAAGGGAAAGGAGGGAGAAAGAAAACCCATGTCATCTCAAAGAGACAGGTTAACTTCTAGATGAATGTTCTCTAGCTAGCTCCCAACAGAGAAGCAGCCTTAGGGTAGAGATAAAATAGCAAGCAAAGCAGAGCTGCTATCAATAATTAATTGAGCCTGTTACCTCTAAATACCCACAGATTGGCCACTGCAAAAGAGAGCATCAGGGTCATATTACTCTGTAAAGCCAATTTTTTTTTTTAAAAATAAGAAGTTGATCTCGATTCTGGTCTCAGTTACCTTCAAATCAGAAATTGGAAACTTGGCCAAAAATGAAATAGACTACTCGTGACATTTTAATAACCAACCAGAATTCTTTGAGTATACAGTGCTTACGTGGGGAGGGAAGGAGGTACTGGCCTGTGAGCAATTTCTAACTGGAAAATTTCTTGTAAGCTAAAACTACTTTAATGTAATAGATTGTGTTTTAGATGAGTTGAAAAGCAAGCCACTGAGGAAACTGTCCCAACCATGTGAATGACATGCTCTAAGAGCCAGCTCAGAGGAAGCAAGGAAGCCAGAGTTTAATACAATCTACAGAAATATGCATTTCTGGAAAAATAATGAGTCAAACTCAATTTTAATGATCTTCCTATGCTCATCTGTGTTTATTCTAGAATTCAGTCAAATTCTTCTATGGGATGCTGAACTAAAGAACACTTGCTTTAGTAAAAGAGAGAATTGTTGATATATATACAAGGTCTAAATGAAAATAGTATTTATTTTGCAATTAAATAATATGAGGACTTCAATGACAAAATTATCATATATATGGTAACATTATTTACTCATTGAAAGCCAAATGTTTGAGTTAAAAAGAATTAATTGGACTCTAATAATTTGAAAACATTAAGACTACAAGTGTAATTCGTTAGAGTGTGTGATTGATCTTGGGTTGCATCTGAAGCATAGTAAAGGAAAGAAGGAAGGGGAGGAGGGAGGAGCAAAAAGAGGAGCTAAAAACTAGAAGAAAAAAAGTAGCAATATTATTTCCTCAGTTTCACAACAAAATCTTTTATTATGATTTTTTGGGCCTAGCTGGGTAACACCTGCCTAGCTACTTAAGAGCTGGTGATCTGGGTATGATGGCTCATATCTATTATCCCAACTGTAAAGGAAGTGCAATGGCTGAACACAGTGGTGTGTGCCTGTCACCCCAACACCAGGGGGGAGTATATGTAGGCATATGCCCAGGCCAACCCTAGGCACAAAGTCAGAACCTAGCTCAAAAGATGACCAGCTTCATAAGACACTGGAGGTATGGTTCCACAGACAGAGCACTGCTTTGCAAACCTGAGGCTCTGAATCCAACCCCAATACCCCCCACCCCAATACACACAAATGAAATATAAGACAGGATTGGGCACAGGTGGGCTACTTGGGAGGCAGAGATTGGGAGGAGTTCTGTTTAAGGCCAGTCTTGCCTCTTCTCAACAGAAAAAAAAAATGAGCATGTTGGCACGCACCTGTCACTCTGACTACAGTGGGAGTCTAAATAGCCAGATGGCAGCCCAGGCCAGAGTGTACAAAAACCAAGACTAGATCTCAAACCAACCAGGGCCACAGAAGAGCTGAATCATGCCTCAGGTGGCGGAGATCTAGCTCACCAAGATTTAAGCCCAAATTTCAAACTCCTATACCATCATCCCCCACTCCCAAAAATAGAGAATCAAGCTCAAGGAGGGAATAATCTTTAAAAAAAATGCACCCTAGGACAAAGTTCACAGCAAAAGACAGGACTGCTCACAAAGTTTCCCACATCTGATGAAATTACAATTGTATGGTAAAACAAAACAAACAAAAACATTTCCTCTTCCCAGCTTCCCAGCAAAATCATCTTGAAAGCCAGCTACCCAGCATATTTTTTTTAATTTTTTGCGGGGGGTGGGGGGAATCTGGTCGTGGGGCTTGAACTCTGGGCCTGGGTGCTGTCCCTCAGATCTTCAGCTCAAGGCTAGCACTCTATCACTTGAGCCACAGCGCCACTTCCGGCTTTTTTTTCTTTTTGCTTATGTGGGGCTGAGGAATTGAACCCAGGGCCTCATGCATGCAAGGCAAGCGCTCTACCACTGAGCCACCTTCCCAGCCCTCAGTATATTTTTAATGGCTGAAAGCTGCAACAGGACAGATGTAACCAGTTCCATTTGTAAGGTTTGAATTTATTTTTGTTGGTTTATTTCCCAACAAGGATGACCCTTAATGCTCAGTCCTGAAAGATTGGGAGGAAAATTGCATGATACATGTATATATGACTAATAACTCTTTTCTTTGAGATAGGTCTCACTTAAATAGTCCAGGCTTGTCTTTCAGTTGTGATCCTATTGTCCAGTCTCCCAAATGCTGGGATTATAGACATAAACTCCTATGCTCCTCATCTATTAACTCTTGCATTCATTTTCCTAAATGTCACCTGTAAGCTTGTGACATTTCATACAATGATAATTTCACAGGTGACCAACAATAGCACAAGAGACGAGCACCAAGTCATGTGTCAAGTGTGATAAGGTTAATAACAGGGAGTTA